TGCTTCTCATAACTATAGGAAAAACTACAGTTCTGATAAACCTAATACTACCAATGATCAAGTATTTACTCTGCACAAGATGCCCATTGAGTGCTTCAACTGCACTTTCATTTATAACTGAACGGCAGAATAATAAGCCAACACAATATGCTGAAATAAATCATTTGGAACTCTCCTTTAAAAAAAAAAAAAAAAAAAAAAAGAGGCCAACAAAAACCTTGGCCCTAATTTGGCTACTGTCAGCTTTTCGGAAGTAAATTTTGATGCACAAGTGTTCTCTCTCCTTACAACTCTTGCTTCAACTAAACAATGTAAAACAAACCATTTCTACCTGTGAGCACATAAAAGCTCCTGTCACGGAAACAGCCACAGCCCCGAGCGCAGGCCCCATCTGTCCTTTCATAGGACAAAGCCACATGAGCAGAACAGGAGTCAGGTGAGCAACATTTCCTTTGAATTGCAGGGTATCAGCAATGCCTGAAAACACAGGCTTCAGCACAATCTGAGCTACATGCCATATGGTGAGAGCTGTTACATAACTTTAAGTTAACAGCTGAAGTCCTCTGACTAGGAGGTGATCATGTCCACACTGCCAAACTGATTATAAATTTTGCTATTAAGGTTTATAGAAAAAAGGCTTGTAAAAAGATCCCCCCCAGCCCCTCTTCAAGAAAAAAAACTGAAACCAAGGTTACTGGAAGTCAGTGTTGTTTACCAACATGATATATTTTAGGGATCAATGGAAGAATGTCCAACTCATTGTTGAGATGGTCTTAACTGCAATCAGTGGCGATTTAATAAACACATTTTCAGAGATCTCCTCTATGTTATGATGCTTATGTTTATCATTATTTATTAGGATGTAGTAACTCGAGAACACTGAAAGCGGACCTATGCTTCTATGTATACGCACAGACCCGAAGAAACAAGTGCACGGAGCAGGGAGAGAAGGCGCCGTGGTACTGAATTTGGGTGCCTCATTCTGCAGGTCACTTCTGTGTTTCTCCCGCCTAGCACAGGGTTTTTCCTTTCCTTTAAGACTCAAATTTTTCTACCAGATAAGCACTCTTCCCATGACCATCCAACCAAAGGTTATAAGAAGAGGAGAGAAAGGCCTCCCTGGTGGCACAGGAGTTAAAGTCTCAGCCACTGCGGCCCGAGTTTGATCCTCAATCAGGGAACTGACCCACATGGCACAGCAGACCTCTCCTGATCCGCTTGCTGCTCCCCTCAGCAGTATATTTTAGTAGATCTGCCTGTTCTGTGCCCCACTCTGTCTCTGGTGAATCCTCTCACACATATCTACCACTTCTGGCCTACCCACCCCAGTTCTTGTATGCATAAAAAAGTAAAAATAAATATTTAAATCAAAAAAAGAAGAGGAGAGTATATATAAAGGAAAATGTCTCAATAAGAGTCAATGCAATTCAAATGGTTTAACAAACAAGGCTTTGATTGGCCTCTGAAAAGTCTACAGAACTGCTCTGTGGTCAGCATAAAATGGCTGATTGATGTTTCATCAGAAAGCTGGAGATCTGAGAGCATTCCAGGCCACAGCTCCTCCTTCCATAGATAGAAACAGAACCCCCCTCTTTAGGAGCTGATAGCAAAACCAGGTCCTATAAATTCCAGTATAATATATTTGTTCTCCCTTCCTACTGCCACAGCGGCACTGATACAGATGAGGATAAATAGGAAGTCAGTTTTTCCTACATGCCAACTAAGGGCTCAGGGACTTTACATGAGAGGGCCAGTTAGTCCTCAAATCAAGCCTATGAGCTCAGAACTTCTGCTACCCTTATTGAAGGTCTGCAGAAACAGAAGCGTGGCAGGATTCAGTAAGTCACCAACTTACACAGACGGTGAGAGTAAGGACCAGAGGCAGGTGGTCTGATTTAAGGGTCCACATTTTTTCATCCTGCTGCAATGAATGCCATTACAAATAATACATACTATAGAATTAAAATAATTTTGAGTCAAAAGTTTGAGAGTGGGTACTCTCACCACAGCTTCTAAGAAACGGCAAAACATAAATGGAAAATTTAACGTTTTGATACATGGCATGAAACTCAGCTCTGCTTCTCTCTGCTGTCTCAAGCTACACACAATCTCTCTCATTCTCTTTGGCTCCCAACTTTTGAGAGCTGTCTTGAGAGCTCTTACTCTGCATCAATGATGCCATTATTCATTGAGCCTGACAAATAGGTCGATTTCAGGAAATATGTGCTTTCCCCTTCTCCATTTCCTTTATTTCCCATCAGAGAATGAATGCCTCTATCTTAACGTCTCTATTCACAAGGAAGAAGGAATTGCGATTTTTAAATGAAAAGGAATCAAATTAGTATGAAAGCCAGCTAATCTGCTTATGTATTTATTAGGCAGGTCATTTATAATGGCTGCAAACAAAACTGAGAGAATAGCAAGCAAAAGTTTTAATTTTTGCTACAGTATTTGTGTAACAATAAGGCTACCTAAAGAGTAAGAGAACTTCCTCCCAAATTTTGAAACAGACCATAGTTCCATGAGCAGAAAGAATCCTGTTATAAGGCTAACTAAAATGAGGTATTTGAGTGATCCTGGAAATGACAGTTTAGTGAGTTCTCTCGCTGTCATTATCTTTTTGACCATTTCTGAATATATTATTGGCAATGAAAAGCCACAGAAATCCTGAGCTCCAATTAAATTTTATCACCTGTCCTTAAAGTACTTATGGTTAAAAAATTTTGTTACATGTCCAGGCGCAGAAGGCGAGAATGAATTCTATGGGAATAGTGGCATGTATGGTTATAGAAGATGTGGAAAAGAAAAACGATCTTCCTTAAGCACTACTTTGACCATATCACTACAAAAGTCTGTTGTGTTTTTTTCTCCATATTGGTGGGAATTGGCTGCATCTAGGTTTTAGATTTTCCTGTAATCCAACTTCAAAAAACCTGCCGGCCCCACTGCACATTCCCCCAAGATTCACATTCTGCTCAGACCACTGCTACAGCCCTATCTCTGCATCTTCCCAGGACTAAGACAAATGCAAAAACATTTGGGGGCACCTTTCATTCATTCATTTATCAGCACATCCCACTGCCTACTTCACCCTTACTTATACATATGAGATAGAGGTGACCACCTCCATGAGTTCCAGAAAAGAAACGGTAGCTCTGATTAAGGACATTGTCAGAAAGAACCCATGCAGGGTCCTGAGACTCAACCCCACTTGCTTCACGCCAAGTCCATTCATTTTCTGGATGCCCTGTTCTCATGGCTGGCCCCTCTCCCTCTCGTCTATGCCCCGTGGGCTAAGCCTGTGCCCAGTGTCCCCATGCCTGGTTTCCGTCCCAGCTCCTCTATGATGACTTCCCAGACAACTTCAGTCTTTTCAGACTTTGATTCCATGGGTTTTCGTTAGCTTCACTTAAACCCTGTAAAATTTAGATTTTAACTAAAATTATCTCTAAATGCACACTGTTGTATTCTTTTGATAATGCATTCTTTTACTTTTCAACTTAGTTTTTAACTTCTCAAGGACTTCTGAGGCCGCACACAGTCGAGATTTCATGAATACTTAAGAAACTATTCTGAGACTTTCTGGCCTCATGAGTTGTAAAACAGGAATGAGTCGCACTGGCTGGGACAGAGAATGGGTGTTAAGGCACAATGGAGCAGAGGGTAAGAAGGGAACACTGGGATTATTTAAAGGACATGAAATGTAGTCCAAGGAGTACAGATTTTATCTGTAACTGATGCGGAGTCCTTGAAAGCATTTGAGAATTACAAGGAAAGAGTTCTGTCTGGAAGACATATTTGCTGTATTTGAATAACATCAATTGAACAAAGATTGGGCTTTGGGTGGCCATGCCATTTGTCCTCATGTATTACTGTCATGAGGAAATGTTTTACTTTTGCTGTTTATTTAAATCAGAAAGCACACAACCAGCTCCCAAACACACACAGTGCTAACAGGTTGTTACAGAGTCTGTAGAATTTATTCTCTAAGCTCCCAAAAGGCTGATAAAAAGACTAATTACAACCATCATTAAGAACACTAAGGCCATTCACGTTAACAAAACATTGCTGAAGCTGCAGGAATGATATTTGGCAAGAATGGCATACTTTCCTCAGGTGAGCAACTGAAGGAATTTCCCTAGTTCAAGACAGTTAACTGTTGGAAAGAGTAATCAATAAACAAAATTCATACAATTAACTTTCTTCTACCTTCTAATCTTTTAAGACTTACGTCTTATTTCCATCTTCCTCTCAGTATTTTCCTTTAACTGAATAGGAAAGTCATTCAACAGGTACTCTTAATGGTAGTATTACGCAGAAAACACTCAAAACTAAATATTTAAGAACATGTGGACCTCTCCAGCACAGCAGGAATCAGACTACCTCCAATAAAACAAATGCTCCTCTTGGGAGTTAAAGCAATTGGGATTAACTCAAGGAAGTTACCTATAACACGAATGATAAAATTAGCACCCGTTTGAGGAATAAAGTGCCTCAAGAAGAGAACTAGCAAAATGTGGGACCAGAAGGCAATGCTTCCCGAGCAATGTAGAGCTGCGGACGGCTTGGAATGAGTCCTGGAAACCGCTGGCACCTGTGCTTAGCTTCCATAAACACCTGCACCTTCCCTCTGAGTGTGACAAGGACAGGCAGGGCCAAATGACCCCCTTCTTCATGGGAGAACACACCACGGCCATTTGAGACTTGAGGTGCCTGCTCCTTGTCTCTGAAGCCCTGACACTCCTCTCCTTACAGATGAAGAACCTAAAGCCTAATGAGGTTTAAGAAACAAAGACGACAATCCATGGCTTCCTACCATCTGGCAGAGCCAGATCCTGAAATCAGATCTTATTGCCTTCAAAACCCACCTGTCAGCATTGGAAAGAAGGAATGTGAATTTTATGGGAAAAACAGAACTCCAGAATAATTAAAGAAAACAGACCAAATAGGAGAAGAAGCCAGAAGCCCAATCATCAAATGCAGAGAGCGAGCCAACTTACCAGCATATTTTGTAGTGTTAGATTCATCCATAGACCAAAAGCAGTAGTCAAAGGCAAATACCTGAATGAAAGAACAACATATTAAATAAATTTCTATGAGTAAGTCATATAAAAAAAGAAATCATTGAAGGTAAATGTATTGCTGTTGTCTGAGTAAAATAAAAACCCATTCTAAGGTTTGGTGATCTGTTAACCCTTAAGCTTCATGCACATTAAATTGATGGTTCTCTCCCTCTCTTAGAATAAGCTATATATGCAAATTGCTATTTATCTATCAAACATCTTAACCAATTTTTAAAAAAGATTTATTTATTTATGCATGTAAGAGGCATAGGCCAGAGGTGTGGGGGGCAGGGGCGGGGGTGAAAGGATTCACCAGAGAGGGCAGCAGAACAGGCAGACCTACTGAAGTACACTGCTGAGGGGAGCAGCGGGTGAGACAGGAGAGGTCTGCTGCGCCATGTGGGTCAGCTCCCTGGCTGGGGACCGAGCTTGTGCTGCAGTGGCTGCATATAGCTTCATAGTGCTGTGCATAGCTTCACAGGGCTAAGCTTTAGCCTGGTGCACCACTAGGAAGTGCCTGTTAATTTTTTTTAATGACATTTTTTAATTTGGTGAGGGGAAAAAAAAAGAACTTCTCTCCCAGGTTCACAGTTCCAGCATCTGCAGATACCCCTGGCTGGAAGCCTGAGGATTTTCATGCAAGTCTAAGGGCAATCAATGTTGATTTAAGCCACTTCTAGCTTTCCATGATGCCATCATTTCTAGCATAACTGAAATTCTAAACTGCCCCATTTCCATTTTCGACTCCATCCCTGGTTGAGCATGTAACCTTGGGCTGACCACAGTTAATAAATCAAGAATTTGCTCTCGAATGCATTCATTTTCTGGACATTACTGAATGCCTGTTATGCTTCCTCCATAAGGGCTGTTACTGAAGCCTTGTTTCTTATGCACATCTTATCACTGCTCACATTCTGGCCATTATTCTCAAGTGGGTAGGGTAACGTTCCCCCAACGTGTGCTTCAAGAATAGTAGTTTTATGATGGGCCATGAAAAAAATGAAATCATGTTGGACAGAGTATACATTTTGTCCTGTCCAAAAAATTCAATGCAATTTTCAATGTCAGAGGCTCTGAAAAGCCCTCCAGCAAAGAAACCATTGACTTGTTTAACCTATTTCTGTCCTCAATAATTTGTGAGGAGATCGTTGCTTGAAAACCACCTACCAACAAGCCTTGTTTACTGGTTCTCAGCATCCTACCCCTTAGCAAAGTGGGGTCAAGATGACTCAGCCGCTTTCCTAAGTTCACAGTAGCCCTTTTCCTCTTGCACTCCAAGAACAAACTTCCCACAGACAAAGACCATTTAATGCTTAATCACTTCCAAGAGACCTTAAGCACTGAGCAAACAGATCCTAAACTCTGTGGCTTGGCATCTGCTTCCAGCCCATGTTCTCCGCCTTCCTTAGGCTTTACCTGGACTTGTCCATCCATACTTTGGATTTACTAAGTGTAATTCCACCTCTGTCCATGTTCTGTTCATTTCCACTACTTGAAAATGTTTCATACCCCTAAATGTTTCATATATATATATATGTATATATATATATGTATGTATGTATGTATGTATAATATATGTATATATTTATATACATATATCTATACTCTATCTATATATATCTATAGCTGTATCTATATATGTGTGTATATATAGATATATATACATCTACAGATAGTCTATATATATAGATATAGTTTTATCTATCTTTATATTTCTCTAGCTATAATCTAAGTATCTATAGCTATATCTATATATGTATCCATAGAGATATATAGATACATAGAGGTATATATCGATATAGTTATATATGTCTGTCTATACAGAGATATATAGAGAGAGATATGTAGAGTCTCTCTCTCTATAGATAGACAGACAGACATATCTACAGATAGACAGAGAAATCTTCCAGGAAGCATTCCTTACTTAACTCCAAAGAAATTAACTTTCTCTTCTTTGAAATCTCACTAAACTGTTTAGTTCTCTTTTTGTGACAACTATCCTAATTATTCTACTTTCATTATTCATGTATATGATCTGTGTATGTTTACTCTCCACCGACAGATTAAGTCCCTTGAAAGCAGGATCCGTGCCAGAACTAATTCATATTTGTGTTCTAGAGTGCTCATAGTCCTCGCTTTCCCTATTTACTGAATGATTAATGATATCTGCACCAAAACCTTCCAAGAAAGCATGTACTTTCTACATCCTCAAAAGACACAATTATGCTCTGAATAGCTTCAGTATTATATTTAATGCTTTAAAAACTGATGCAGGAATATACAATGCACACAACCTACATCATCAATCTCAAACCCCAATTCAATTTTGCTACTTACATAAACATTCACTCTGGTCTCACATAAATGGAGCTTCAGATGAACAGCCATGAAACAACAGTTCCAGCCAACAGAGTGTAGAATATTTACTGCACTCAAGGGCTCCACCAGCAACTCAAGAGACCACACAGGCGTAATCCAGTTATTCTTCCTGCCTCGAGGCAGGACTGAACTTCAACACTTCTCCGGAGAGATGAAGATCTGCCTTGTTTTTAAACATTTCCAGAAAAGGAGATTCCACAATCTTCCTTTAATTGTATCTAATAATGCTTAATGCTCATTCCCAGGACATTTTCCTTTCTTTTGGCCCTAAGTCAACTCTTATTTTAAACTGCCAATACAGGCTATTTTCAATTTCTACTGTATCTTTATTGTTTTCCTCTAGAGTCCTATGAATTTCCCTTAGTAGTTGCTATATACACAGCGAAATGCTAATTTACATCCTATACATTAATTTTCATACTGCCTAAAGCTCACTTCTATGCTTGCTATTTTTTTAAAAAGATTTATTTATGCATACAGAACTGTGGTACAGGCCAGAGGTGCAGGGGTGGTGAAAGGATTCACTAGAGACAGAGCTGGGAGCAGAATAGGCCGACTAACAAAGTACACTGCTGAGGGGAGCAGCCGGCGGGTCAGAAGAGGTCTGCCGCGCCATGTGGGTCACCTCCGAGGCAGGCGAGGACCGAACTCATACGGAAGTGGCTTTAGCTTCTTAGTGCTGTGCTTTAACCTGCTGTGCCACCAGGGAGGGCCCAATGCTTGCTACTTTATATACAAAGTGAGAAAGCTAGATATTTATATTTGAAATTAAAAAAAAAATCCATCCCAAATTTTGAGGCTCTCTCAGTAGCCATGATTCCAAATTCTATGCCAACTTCCACTTATTAACAAGTAAACTTTAATAGATTAAAGTTGGTTTTGTTTATCAAAAAGGAAAATAAAATATTTTCATTTTAAGTACCTGCCCACCTAAAACTCAGACAAATGTTAAAAACAAGCAGAGGAGAAAAGGGCCTGGCTGTGCTGGTAGATACCACTATTCTTTGCTTGCCAAGTACCAGCCTACTCCACCACCCCACCCATCTGAATTATGCCTTGAATTTTAGAACCTTTGATCGGACACATTTGAGAATGCTCAGTTCTCAAAACAGCAGTGGGGTATGTTGTTATTTCACCAGTCAGGGCTTTCTCTAAAACTCCAAGCCATTCAGTGTACAAATTCATGCTATAGTTCTTTTCTTCAATGCGCATTACAAGTGATCCTCCCTTCTCTGAATTCTGTGATACCTTGGAACTCACAAAGCACAGGGTCATATTTGATCCTATTTATGTCTTAGTTCTTCTACGTGGGTCTTACTTCCATCTAATTGTCACTGGGGTACAGGGATTATGTGTCTAGTAGCTCAGAATGCTTGGTCAGCACGCCAGATGGAGCGGTTCTTTCTGTCGCATGTGTTCAGTACACAGGTATAATACCAAAGGAGCTGGAATGCAGACAAGAAGAAAAGGATGTGAGAACTGCTAGGAGTGATCAGTTCAAGGAGCAAGATGCATGCCCCTTTACTGTCAGATGCATATTTTAGGGGAACTTAGTTACCACAATGATCACTAGAAGAGCGCCGGGACTCCGGGACTCCCCTTCAGCATCATCAGCGCAAGGCTCAGTTGATAAGAGAGTGATCACATTGTGCCTAATTTGTTACAATTTGTTTGACTGCTGCTAAAACAATTATTTGCTATGACTGTTGCTAAAACAGTTTTAAAGGTGTTTTTCTTTTGTCGTAGGTAGCCCAATCATTTCCTTTGCAATCTTGTTATCCTGCAAATAAACTATTTACATTCTATCTTGTTTTCACGACCCAAAATTCTTTTTTAATTGTAATTAAATTATAATCACAAAAGGTTTATAACAAAAGGATGCATGATTTCCCTAGGGTTTATACAAAGGTCTAAATTTTCCAATACACACTCAAATGACATTTCAAGAGATTAAAAATATTTTTTTTTCTTGAGTGTTATTCCTTGGAAATTGACCACATCAAATAAAAGGAAAACTTTCTTCTATCAAAGCAACAAACAAACTTAAATTTTCTTTTTTAAAAATTTCCTAAATGCTTATTTAATCCATTCATTATGAAGTCACTAGTACATTAATTGGAGTCAGAGAGACAAAAGGACTTCCAAATACAGCTAAGTAAAAAAACACATCAAATTTGGAAAGCGACTATCAACTTCATATTCATCAATGTCCATCAACACTGTGAACATTTTCTGTGAAGACATCCATACCTTCCAAGCACCTACAACAAAAGCACAGATATTTCTCAGTTGTTTTCAAAATCAGAAAGTCGCTGTCTTCATTGTTTTCAATAAAATGTGACCCACTGTCTCAGAATCCCACTCCTTCCTTAGCTGCAACTCATACCAGTGTTTAATTCCCTGCGGTTTGCTGCACACATCTGCTCCACCTTCATCATTCTCTAAAAATGTTAGCTTTGCATCTTTATGAACCACCGAACATCTAGTTAAGTTACCACAAGATGTTTTTTAATAAAGGCAAACATGTTGAGTGAGTTTCAGGACGAAGAGTTAAGACGCAGTGTAGGGCAAACCCACTCTTATCTGAAAGTCAGATCTCTGCTGGCATTTCAGCAAAAT